AGAGTAAGTTTCCCAACCTGTGAGACAGAAGATGCTACCAGCCTTCAAACATTTTCCGCTTGCTTTCATGCTGCTGAGCAGCTGCTCCAAGCTCAGCCTGCCCAATCCTGTCTTGATCTGAGAGGCTGAGATGAAAACTATCTGCAGCCTCCAGCCTTCCTCTTCTGATCTTCTCCTTGCACATGTTTTATTATTTTCCTTTGACTTAGCAGCTTTTGCCAGCCACGGAGCACTTCACAAGATTCCGAGCTGCAGGCTTGGATTGGGATGGCAACTATCACAAATGGGTATGAAGCCACATTGTCTCCAAGGAAGCATCTGCTCCTTGGAGTTAATCTTATGTTAGAACTGATTTTACTTAAGGAATAATCAGTTTGTGGATATTGTGGGTGCACAGATGCTACTCTGATGTAGATGGGCTCTGGTTCTATATCCTCTCTGTCCCATGGAGGTGGTCCATGCCTCAGGGACATCTAAGGAGGGATTAATCTTAGAGCAGTGAGAAAGACTCCACGAATGCAAACAGAGCAAGACTCATTTAAAAGTACAGCTGTTAGTGTAAGAAAAACTAGAATCTGGCCAGTTCCAAATCTGCAATTAGAGTTTTCAAGATGTTCAGTGAATGCAAGTAACCTTTCTGCTTAAGCAAGAACAGATCCAATATCCAGCTGATGTGTTTATCACAAATGTGGTAATAGAGATCTCTGGTTTATTGGCTGCAGTTAAGCATAGTGTTCATAAATGACTGATACTTAATTAATTGAAGGCAGTATTACAGAAACCAATCTGTTGAAAAAGATTCCTTTAAACCAGCAGTTGTTGTATTCATTCTGATCTCAGAGAGGCAAGTTCTCAGTTATTATCTCTTCTCAGACAAACTCGCAAATAAACATGAATAGAAACAGTAAAGGTGAAACACCAGAAAAAAATGTTTTCATGTTTTTTTTCTCTCTGGGTAAGGACTGTGTTCATATATATATATATATATATATATTTATATATATATTTATATATATATATATATATATTTTCCTGGAATAGGACAGCAAATTTTCCGGAGTTATTAAAAAATCAGGGTCAAAAAATAATCTCTTTTCTCATATTTTACTCTACACAAGAAGTAATTCCCATGTAATCAATAATTCTGTCTATACCAATAAATAAACTGTGTCTCAGGCCACATTTTGGTCCTGGGGCCAAGGGCACAATGTGTCCACTTCTAAGAACACTGCACACTTTTATACCGAGGACAGAGTATACCAGCTATAAGTGAACCTTTTCCCGTGCTGTCCCTCAAATCACGCCCAGGCACTATCCTGGAGGTCTCAGTTGACAAAAATAATGCCAACTTTTGCCAGAACTTGAGATTTAACAGTTTTGATGATTGATGGTCAGTATAGATTTGCTCAATCTATGCAGTTAGGGCACAATCCAGACCCCAAACACAGGACACCATTTCTATGTCCTGGAGTGAGGAAATCTTTCTCCAGGACTTATCTCAAAAGTCTCCATCAAGACTTCATATATCCAGCTTTGTTTTCCTGCTCCGCCACAGTCTATCTGCATGACCTTGGGCAAGTCACTCTCTGACTGGGCTGCAGACTGCAGCTTAGCAATAACCGTGAACAGGCTAGACACTGTCCCCAAAACAACAGGAGCCAGCATTTTCCTACAGCCTATTTCACCTGAGCTAGCCTACAATGACCCCTGTGTTACCAGAGCGGATTTTAAACACATCTCAGGCACTGGAAACCACGCTGCAGCCTGCACTTTGAATGTGAGTGCCATTTCTCTGCTCCTTCTCTGGCGAGTGGAAAGACCAAGGCTTCCTGACTCTCAGAAGGGCAGTGAAGATAGAAGTATTCAGGGCTACAGCCTCTTCTGATACTACAGTAAGTAATGGTTAAACAAACATCACCTTCCACGTACAGATTTCCTTAGGAAAAGTAGAGCAATTTTATCAGATTTTGCAGCCCAGTAAGAGCTGTTTCAAAACTAGAGCAGTTTGCTTAAACCTGCTCAGACAGCTCCCACAAAGTTCCCATGGGAGACCTGTCAAGAGTTCACCCTCAGTCAGCCTTCAGCTAGCTTTACCTGAAAGAACTGAAAGAATTCGACCTCCATCAGGACATGAGAAGGGGAACAAAGTGAGAGCTGCTCACAAGGCTTGGGGGAAATGAAAAACTACAAGGTGTTCTTGCAGCTCCCATATGGAGCAGGGGTGAGGTTGGAACAGCTCAACATTGTCATTGTGGTTCTCAAACCAGTACAATTTGACACTTGACCCATGTCAGCTGCAGACTAAACACATCTGGGGCACCTTCATGGTTTGTAAATCCCCATATTGTCCTTAGAAAATTTTTGTTCAATCTGAGGCCGTTTTTAAAAGAAAAAGACAGAAAAATCTATCAGTATTAATCAAGCAACCCGACCTTTGGGAAAACGAGGCAGCCTAGAAGATCTGGTGGGTCCTAATGATGCAGAAAAATTTAGCTGAGAAGAATCCCAAGGGTATGGACCAGGGAATGTGATGAGCAGTGGTCCACACTGAATGACAGCAGGCATATTTGGCCCTCTTATTTGCAGTCCCATGAGGTTTAGCCACAATCACTCCTTCATGTCACAACTCAAGAGCAGAGAAATAAAAACTCTCACAGATACAGCCACAGGGGTTGTTTCCTCCTGTTGAGCAGCCAGAAACTGATCTACCCTAGTGGGTGCAGCATCTGAGATATTTCTGGTTAAGCACAACTGGACACCTCAGAACAAGCAACACAGACTTGGATTTCTACAGCCTTTACTCAGAGGTGCAAAGAGAGGGAGGTCAGTAAATAGCCCATGAGCCTCGATTAAACCACAACTTTGTTCGTGGCTCAAAGGAGAGCACACACCTTCCTAACCCTTGGTAGATGGGACAATAGACATGACAGGGATGACCTAAGAATTAATCTATACAAAATAGTAATTTAATCCCAGGAGCTGGAGCCAAAGAGACCAGAGGAGGTGAGTCTCTGAAGACACACCATCGCTGAAGACCAATGCAGGTTCAGGACTGACCGGAACTAAGTCCTTACCTTACCAGAAGACAAAAAATTGTGGTGAAGTGTATTTCTTTTTCTCAGTAAAAGCAGGAACTCTCCTTATCCGCACAAATGGGTTTTAATTGCTGGCTTTTCTCTGAAATGCAGTCAAAGATTTTGGTGGTTTTATGTTCTTCACTGGAAAGGGGGTAGAAAGCTGCCTGCTCTGTCCAACTTTAAACTGAGATACTTAAGGGCATTTATTCCTTCGTCCAGAAGATGATACAGAACAACTGCTTGGGAGTTTGAAGGTGCTGGGCTAGTATTTTGCAGTGCTTAGAGTCAGACATCTATGCTTTGGGAAAATCATTCTCCCTGTGTGAATTATCTACTGAGCACTTTTATTCCAATTGGTCACTAATCCAGATCACATATACTGTCCTTTGCTTTTATCTTTAAAAAAGGAGGAGCTGTAGGCACTATTCTAGTAAAAAATCACATTGCAAGTGACCCCATCCTAGTTTTGCCAAGCTCAGTTAGTGTTTCTCTACACAAGAAAATTAATCTGGATTGAGAGAGTAGGATTACAATTTCTGTATAAAAGTGTGTTACAATTATGTTATTCTAGATTATCAATGTTCTCCATTGAACTACCTTAATCTTAACTTTAAAAATAAGCAAAATGGAATGGAAGAACCCAAATTTTGCAATAGCGGGATTGTCTTTGCAGCAAATTAGAAGATAAAATTTGTTCAGGGATATTTAATCGAGAATAATTTGTTTTTCTGAACACTCAGGACTTTCCAGCAGCAGCAAGGACACCTTTTTATTTCCACATACTCAGCTCAAACAGCCACAACTCTGTACAGAGCAATTACTGTAACATCTACAGCCATGAGACCAAATCCCAGCTGTCCCACCTGGCCCTTTTACTGAAGCAAGGAGACCAACAAAAACAATCTATGCTTCAGATTTTGGGACAGGGACTGACTTTAGGTTTTTTTTTTGTTTTTCCTGGTAAATGAACAGTAAGAAACAAATTATGGCTTCAGGATCTTGGTGCTGTTACTTGCAAGAGCACTACCTCCCTCATTGCTGAGGAACTCTTTAAAAAAAGGGGGGACAGGTAACCCCAAAGGTCTCTGGTGTACGAGACGGACCGAATCCTCCTCCTTATGACCTGAGCCATGAGTAAATAGCGTGTTAGGGAGTTTGTTACACTCTGTTAAATAAATCCTGCCTCTGGTGCAATGCCCAGGGGAGCATGCAGATACACTGTAATCCGCAGAAAGTTCTTTCCTGAGCCACCTGCAAACTTTGTACCTTATTTACTCCCAGCAGGTTAGTCCTGGTGAGCTGGGTTGCTCCAGATGGGAGGGAAAGCAGAAGGGCTCTTTTTTTGCCAGGGAAATAGTCCTGGCATAATTCATACCAAATTGTTTATTCTTTTAATTGGAACGACTGAAACTTCTTTCACCTTTTACCTTGTTTCAACTTTGCTGGAAGCCTCCAGCTAGTGGGATCCATCCCAAAACTCCAGCCCATCCATCAGCAATGGAGTTAATAATTTCCCACTGAGAGAAAAAAAAAAAAAAATCCCACTTCCCCTTCTTTGCATGCAGGTAAAGAAGGCAGGATACCTGAAAATGCTTCTGGCCCAAACCTCTTGTGCTCCTACAGCACTGGAAGGGGAAGGCAGATAGAGGAGCTCACTGTGTCTTTGAGGAAAGCTTTTTCTGGGCACATTACAGATAAATTATCCCACCACAGCAGTGAGGCTGGAAAAGGTGATAGTGCAACCCAGGTCTGAACCACCCACCGACCTCCTGTCCCTTTTCCCCCATGTACTGAACCTTCAGGGCACTGCAAGGTCTCCCGGTGCTCAGGCTCTCCGCTCCCTGCTTCTCCTGCTTCAGTAGCGTCCAGTCCCCCACCCTCCCTCCTCTCCCAGAACAATAGCAAGGCACCGGATTCAGCTGCTTCCCAAGGAAAGCCCAGATCACACACATTTCGATAGAGAGAGATAGATATGATTATATTTCTCTTTGCTGTTTAGGACAAGAAATGAAGTGCTGCCTCTTTAATTGGCAAAAGCATGCAGTAAGAGCATACCTTTAATTTAGTGTTGGGATAGCTCACTTGCACCCTGGCTGTTGTCTTATTGGAGAGGGCAGCCTGCCTCAGATCCTCTAGCACTGAAATAATATCATCCAGCACGCATTTCTTATCCTGATTTCTCAACACACACAGATGGGAAAAAGTATAATTATAGCCTTTGTAGTTCACCTTCATTTCCAGCACGGCTCGGTGGATCTGCAGGATCACATCAGCCTGATGCAAAATATTGCCTCCGGGTTTGGAGAGGAGAATCACCCTGCCATACCTCCCCGGGGTGTGCAAGTCCGAATACAGCTGGCTTTTGGATTGATCGAGGGAGAAAAGGCTGCTGGCTAAGCTCCTCTCGATCTTGGCCAGGCTGTGGCTGGGGGCTACCAGGCTCTCCAGGTCAGTGTCAGGCTGGAAGCGGTTGAGCAGGCTGAAGCCGAAGATGATGGTCAGGACTGCGGGCACAGTGAGGAAAAACACCGGATGCCTGCTCACGAATAAGCCCAGCTTGTAGAAAAACGACTGGAGCCCTCTGTGTATCACCTGCCGCAGCATCCTCCACCAGATCCAGCCTGCAGATGCTCCTGGCCGTCTTAGAAAGCACATGTGACATGTGTAGCTCCTTACCCCTTCCTGCCAGTTTCCCTCTCTCTCTCCCTCTCTCTCTACTACTCCTTTAAAAGACTGCAGCAAGTTGCAGCAAGACAGCCAAATATTGATCAATGGGGTGTGTGTGTGCGTGCGGGTGTGTGTGTGTGTGCCGGGGGTGGAAGGGACCGGGCAGGGGAGGGAGGAGGAGGGGGGGCTCCTTGCCTTTTTTTCCCTCTTTCTCTTTTCCCCCCCTGCTCTCTCTCCTCCCTCCCCGCGAGCCAGCTATCATCGCCGCCCCCCTTCCCCTCCCTCCCCTCCCTTCTGGTGCCCCCCTTTCTCCGGCGAGGCTCGGGCGTTGCACCGGGAGCTCCGCAGTGCCCGCTCCGCTCCTCTCCGCGCCCCGCGCAGCCCCGCGCCCGGCCCCGCTGCTCCGGGGCGGTGCAGGCAGTGCCCCCGCACTGCTCGCCTTCCCCCTCCACACACACACACACACACATACGGAATTTGCCAGGGCAGGAGGATGATGCTGCATTTTAACGTCCCCGACCCCACCGCGCCCCTCCCTCGCCCCCTCCTCCCCATCCACGCCGGCTGCCAGAGGAGGGAGAGCTCGGCTTGGGGACTTGGCGAACCGCTTTCCCACAGCAGCAGAAGCAGCAGCAGCAGCCACCGCGCTCCTCTCTCGTCCCCCCGGTCCCGCGGCTGCTGCATCCCCCCGCCGCACTCTGGTCTCCATCCCCCGGTCCCGCGGCTGCTGCATCCCCCCCGCCGCACTCTGGTCTCCATCCCCCGGTCCCGTGGCTGCTGCATACCCTCGCCGCGCTCCATTCTCGCCCCCCCGTCCCACCGCATCCCCCTGTCGCGCTCGGCTCTGCCCCAGCCGCGCTGTGGCTTTCGGAGTCGGGGGTACACTCGACACACAGCGCTCCAGCACAGATTTCCCCTCTACACTTTCCCCCCATTTGCTGCCCGTGGTCGCCCAGGCGGAGCTGCCCCATGCTCCTACGAGGAGGAGGGTGACCCAGGGAAAGGCTGGGGACAAGAGGAGGAAGGGGAGGGGAGCTGCTCCTTTCTGCTGCCCCACGCCCTGGCACATCTTCCCCGGCCAGCTGCTCTCTCAGCAGTGACCCAAGACAGGTAGGACACGGCTCCTGACACCCTCCAGCTGAAAAAGAGGTTTTCCAAGCAAAGACACCAGCAGACCATTACATAAGAGGAAAAAAATTCTGCAGCTCTCCGGACCAAAGGCGAGCAGCAGGGAAATGCATTTGCAGCAGGCGAGCTGCCCACCAACTCTCCAGGCAGCAAGCTCTTCTCCTCCGGGACCCTCAGCCAGGACTGCTGAGGACAGCAGGTCCAGCCCCAGCAGACCTGACAGCCCCTTGCAGGAAAGACAGGAGGAAAGGCAGGCTAGTTTTGCAGGAGCTTTATATTTGTAATTCTAAAACCCAGAAATGCAATTAAAAAACATCTACCAAAATGGTGCAGATCTCTGCTTGACATCTCTCCCTTCACCAAATTTCTGTTATATTTCAGTTAGTTTTGTCAGGTAGAAATTATTTATTTTGGGATGGGACCAAGGATATTGTGCAAAGTCTGAGAGAACAAGGCTTTTCCATAATAAAGCCCTACAGATACAGAAGGGTGAGTGGAAACTGGGAAGCTCAATAATGTCAGTTAGCAGCCTCTGCCCAATTCAGGACTAGACCAACAGCAGGTTGTGCTCAGCTTGAAGTATTTATTAATTAGTGTTTTGAAGAAAAAACACCGTATTCAACAATGCCTTTCATGCTGACACCCTACACACGTTTTTACTGCTAGTAATGCTTGAACTTGATCTTAGAGCTCTTTCCAACCTTAATCATCCTATGATTCTGTGTTGATGAACAGGACTTGCAAAGAAGAAGCTCATCTTTGAGGCTTTGGAGGGCATGAGTTAGGTTGCAGAGACAGTGATTCAGATTAGGAGCCTGGAGTCCCTCAGAAGTGTGGAAACATGAAATTCCTCCAAGGAACAGAGATACTGGGAGCACTGGACTGGAAACCTACATGACTGTAATCAGTGACTAAGATTCAAAACTAACTTGGTAAAACTGGCTTAATTTTTAGGCATTTGAATGGGTGCTGCAAGCACATCATGCCTTTCAAATGCAGGCTGCTTTTATTTAGTGGCCTAGATACTACTGATCTGCAAATGTGGGCTAGAGTTCTTACAGGCAACACAAAGCAGAGGTCTAAGGTGGGAAATTCTGGAGAAAAAACCCCTATCAGCCACCTATTTGCATGTCTTAAGATATTGCCTATGATGGAAATCTGCCTCAACAACCCCAGGAAATGCTAAGCTCCATTGGTACAAATTACAGCTCTTTGTCTATTTTATGATGCACTTATGCCAATGGTTGAGTGCTCCCAGTGAATAAAGTCTAAATGCAAAGGCTTTATTGAGCCTTTGTACTTACATAAGTGAGACCTTGGGTAGGAAGTCAGAGCCTGCTGCTTAATTTCTACACGTGGAGTCTTCTAACAGCCTTTGACAGAGTATTGTCATCATGTCTAAGATGTGGGTGTTGGTAGCAGAGATACCTGAGCACTGTGGACTTCAGCAGAGACTACAGAAGCTCTGCCTGAAGCCTTTGGGTCCTTGGCTCTTATTGCTTCTGTGGCTTATACTGTGTTGGGATCTGGAAGTGAGAAACCTGCAGTCACTTCTCTTGGTTGTGTAGCCTTACCCCGTGAGTCCTTCACAGAGCTAATTGTGGCTCAGGAGCTTGGCCAGATCAGAGAAGGACAGATTTGTTGGGGAAGTAAAGGACCTGAAAGACCATGGGCAAGGATTCCTTCCACCAGACCAGGTTGCTCAAACCTCCACCCCATCTGGCCTTGAACGCTTCCAGTGCCTCACCACCCTTACAGTAAAGATTTTCTTCCTAATATCTAATCTAAATTCACCCTTTTTCAGCTTAAAACCTTTCCCCACTCACCTGTTAGGTCACAAGAAGCAACTGAGACAATTCACTTCAGCAAGTGACCACAGGAACAGTTCAGGAACACAGTACGAGTAAGCTGGACCACCCTGGGAGGAGCAAGTCCCTCTAGTGTCTAAATAAGATATGGCAAAGGATGTTTTTTTCTGCAGGTTCTGCAGGTCTTGGACAACTCCTGTATGCCAGGATGCTGCAGTGGAACATTCCAACACGGCATTGCTGAGGCACAGATAATGCAAAGAGAGGGCAAAGAAGGAGGTGCAATGAAAGGTGTGACTGAGTACATGCTGTTTCCTTCCTGAGCAGGAGAATGGAAAATAGTGCCAAAGGGCACTGCCAGTTGGTCTTGCCTGTCCCTGGGAGTACACAGTAACAACGTGTAATCCGGCATTAGTGCCGGTAAAACTGGCTTAATTTTTAGATATTTCAATGGGTGCTGCAAGCACATCATGCCTTGCAAATCCAGGCTGTTTTTATGTAGTGGCCTAGATACTGCTGATCTGAAGGTGTCTGAAAGCTTTACCCCGCAGGAAACATGGATGATAAAGCAAGCAATGCATCACATTGGTCATCCCAAATGGCAAAATCCATGGAGGATCTGAAAAGTCAGCTGGAAGTACATCTCAGAAACAAGCAGGGCATCAGCACCTTTTCTGAGAACAGTGCTGGGATGTGCTGATATTTATATCCTCCCTGGTGTCATCCAATGAATCCTCTTTAAAGGGGAATAACAGCCATGTCAGGGTTGTTAGCTGGGGGAACTGAGACATAGCTCACAGACAAACAGCGAACCACAAAGAGAGATTCAAAACACCCAGAAATATTTGAAACAAGATTCAGCTTGGAAAATATGTATCTGTATCTGAGGAAAATAACTGGAGTTGTCTATTCCCAGAAAAGAGACCACTTTGGAAACAAATGACTCGGCACAAAGGAAATAATGGGATTACAGCACAGGGCAAGGTAGACATGGTTTTGGAAAAGGCATTACAGAGCAGAAAGTCAAAGCAAATCAAATTTACTTGCAGGGTATCCTAAAGCAAGGAGGGAGGGAACAGTCCCTCTAATACTCTGATGTGACTGCAATAGTGTTCAGCTCAGAGGGTTACTGAGACACGGTAAACTTGTCCCTAGTTTAAATAAGAATTATTATCAGGCTTGAGAGGTTGGCATGGGTGCACTGATTGGGTGCTGAGAAAGGTAGACTGGAGGCCAAGGAGCCAGATTTCCATATGTTGATTCACAAGCAAGTAAAGGCACAAATGCTCCTATTGACATAGTGAATTTAGGTTGTTATGGTTTAATAGCTGGGTGGATATAGTAAAAATTTATGGTATAAAAAGACATTAAATAGCGAAATAAAAACAGGGGGATGATTCATAATAGCCACAGAGGCTGTGTAAAACAGACTTCAGACTGACTAGCAGTTCATATTCATACACCTATATGATTTTCTACCTCGAACTGAGAAGGGAAAACTCTAATGTGATCTAAAGTTTAGTTTTAGAAATGTGTCTTTTAATGAAAAATCCCTTAGGAATTCTCCTTTCAGTTCTGAGCTTCCTCAAACTGCAGGGCCAGCACTTCATAGGGTGAGCATGGGTGGGAATAGGGAGAGAGAGAATGTCTGTGTATCCTACTGGGAAATGAGAGCACTGGAGAAAGGATGTAAGAGCTGGTGCTACCCTCCGGGAAAAAAAATACAAAGCAAAAACTGTGGTTGAATTGGCTGTTTTGGTTTTGTGTTATGTGATGGTCTTGAAAATGGTTGAGAAAACCCTGCCAGCTGCAGAAGTGGAGGGTATGAAACACCAAGGTACCTCGTGCCTTTTGGGGAGGATGTCAGGGCCTGTAGGACCAGAAAAATGCACCCGTTGACCTTGGGAATTTAATACAGAAACACCTGAGACTGATGAAAAGCGTGGACAGTCATTCCATCAGTAAAGGTGCAGGAGGTTTTAATAGCAAAAGGAACAGATGCTAAAGAGCCTTTGAAATTCTGATATGGGAGGAACCAAGTATTGTGTGATGTACTGATATATTTTCAAATTGTCAGCTTTATTGCAAAGGTTTTATTCCCCCAGTTGGGTTCTATTTCCTTAAGTAGCTGCAGAGCAGTTGGTGAAGTTGCTAAAATATGCTCACACGAATAAAGATTGTCAAGCCAGGGTTTAAAAGGGGTTAATATTTGTCG